AGTTTGGCGGAGGCCGTACGAGATTCTGCTGTTGTTTCGCAAAGGTCAACCTCCTACAGGGCCCGAGCGAAAGGTCATCGCTGCGGTGCCGGACTTGCATTCGCGGAAACCCTGTCTGAAGCTCCTGTTGGAAGAGCAGCTACCTCCAAAGTACAGTGCCCTCGAACTGTTTGCGAGAAACCTGACTGCCGGATGGTGGTCATGGGGTGACGAGGTGTTGAAGTTCCAACATGAGAGTCAATGGGATGGTTATGATGGATCTGAAGTAACTTCTTAGACGATTCTCTTCGTGCAGCTCTGGGCACTTGTAGTGTAAGCAAACCAAAAAAGGTGTTTCGGATGAGGCATTCGCAGCCTTGCCTGCGGTAAGAGGCCGAGGCTGGCTTCCGCAAGGCTGTGATGACTTCCGCCAATGAAAATCTTCGGGTGCCTGGATCTCCCCGCCATTGACGCAATTGGCAATTGCCTGTCCCTCCATGTTTGAGTCTCATCGCCTGCGAGCCTCATTCACACACGCACACACCTTTCGCTCTTTCTCTCCCCATCTGGTAATCCTACGTGAGAAGAGACATTACCAGCAGTAAAAGCGAAATGGCGACAGCGGCACAGAAAAAGATGTTTGTCCCTCTAGGTTAGTCATCTATCGCTTCGAACAAAAAAACATCCTCAGACCATCACCTCCCCGTCCTCTAGCGGGGCTTGCTACCGAACACCACCACTAACTAACTGCCTTGCCGTTACTAGAGAACAATCCAGAGGTGATGAGCAACCTGGTCCACGAACTCGGCCTGTCCCCCTCTCTGCAGTTCCACGACGTCTATTCCCTCGACGAACCGGCCCTGCTGGACTTCCTCCCCCGGCCGGCCATCGCCCTGCTCCTCGTCTTCCCCGTGACGGGGACGTACGAGAAGTTTCGAGCGGAAGAGGACTCGGCACGCGACGAGTACACGGGGTCGGGTGACCAGGAGCCCGTGGTTTGGTTCAAGCAGACGATCGGCAACGCGTGCGGGCTGATCGGGCTGCTCCACGCCATCACCAATGGCGAGGCGCGGTCCAACATCGTCGAGGGCAGCGATTTAGAGAAGCTCCTCAAAGAGGCCCTCCCGCTCAAGCCCGCCGACCGCGCCGATCTCCTCTACAACAGTCCCACGCTCGAGGCCGCCCACGCGACCGCCGCGGCAAAGGGCGACACCGAGGCTCCCCAGGCCGAGGCGAACGTGGACCTGCACTTTGTCGCCTTCGTCAAGGACAAGGAGGGATATCTGTGGGAGATGGACGGGTCGAGAAAGGGTCCGCTGAAGAGAGGCTTCTTGGGTCCGGACGACGATGTGTTGAGTCCAAAGGGTCAGGAGTTGGGGGTCAAGGCTTTTCTGAAGAGAGAGGAAGAGGCGGGCGGTGGGGAGCTGCGGTTCAGTGTTCTCATGCTGGGTCCGAGTTTTGATGGATGACCTGACGACAACGACTCCCGTCGCATACATACCCATCGAGCACTTCTGGTGACGGACCTTCTCGAGTATGTCTGTGGCTGGAGCTTAAAGCATACTGAAGGCGTTTGTGCATTGGTGAACTGGGACAACCGAGAACTCGGGCATACGGGTGGATAGGACAGCACAGGACAGCACAGAAGTAACATACGCTCGCAAACACAGCTGACGAATGACTTTCATGACAGGAGGAATGAGACAAATGGAGCCAGTCCAGTCCTGGCCGGACTGAGGTGGACGAATAGATTTTTGCGGACTCAGAGGACGTCTTTGTGTCCTTGGCCCTCAACCTCCTTTCTTCTAATCCTTTCGTTTATATAATGTACAGTAGCGTCCTGATGACCAAGCAGCTCCGACGCCGACTCCTCTTTATTGTTCGTGCTGCAATCGTCCCACAGCAGCCTCGGCCTCGACGTTTGCTCTCTCCTCCCTCTGTGCTCGTCTGGTATTTCGCACGTCCCACAACCCCTCCAAATCCATCTCGACGCGCTTGTCCTCGGTGAACATCTGGACCACGATACGCGGCGAATCGGACCGCGAGCCGAAACCGACGTAGTCGTCTCCAGGATTCTGGTATTCGTCCTCTTCATCCTCTGCGAGCGTCTCCTGCATTTTCCTTGTCATTATTGGCGCGACGGGAGACGCGGGAGAGACACGCTGTTCATCTCCCTCGGCAGCGTCTGTCCGCATCTGATCTCCATCTTCGTCCTCTTGCAATTCTGGCATGACGGCATCGTCGATAGCGCCCATGTTTACGCAGATCCACCCCGTGGTGATTCCGTCGTCGGCGTCTTTCATGGCAACCGTGTTCCCCACGCTCTGCGCCAGCTTCATCTTCCTCGCCTTTCTCCTCAGCTTCAATTTCAATTCGTTCCTCCCCAACAGTCCGTCAGCGTACGGTCTCAGTTTGTACTCTTTCCTGACCCAACGACAAAATCGATCGGCCGAGACGTTGAGATGTTTGACGGACCGAGCAGTGCCAATGATCATCAACAGATTGGAGCCCAGTGCGGGCGGCGGGTCGAGGCGCCGGAGATCTAGGAGCGTGAGGTTATCCAGCCCGATCTGGGTCGAGAGGTGCGTGAGGACAGGGGAGAGGATCGCGGGTGGATCGTGTGGCAAGGGCGGGATTTCCTGCAGCGCGAGCAAGGGCGATATAGGCGCGGGCGGAGTGGGATCTTCGATCTGAAGGTACCACGGTACGGAAGACGACTCCGGCTGAGTTTCTGACGGGGTTTGCGACGAGGTCTGTACGCCGGACTGTTGCAAAGGCGCAAAGCGAGTAAAATTTCTGCGTGATTGGCCCAACGGCTTAGAAAGCCTCGAAGGGGTGACGGCCTTGACTGGGATCGAAATTCCAGCGAGAGAAGTAAAGGCCTCGAGGATTGACGCCCGGCAGGATGTGCATCGCACCAATGACCGGTGCATTGCTGAACACCGCGAGTTCGCACGATATTCCGACTTTGCAAGGAAACGGGATAGAACAAGCAAGCCCACAGCGCAAATGTGACGGTTGAGGGAATATAGACTTGGACGCAAGTATTTTTTGAAGGAGAGCAATTCCCGAAAGGTAAATGTCAACGAGGCTTCGGGCTATTATTGATCCAAAGCCGGGGTCACTGTCTCCACCCTGCCACCCCCATGTTCAGCCTTTGTCAGCCTTTCCAGAGACTTTGAACTCTTGTTTATGTACAAGCACGCGATGGGGAGAAGTATGACGTGGGCTGTTCATTATGGTATGCAGACCTTTCCAGGCCTGCACAGAAGAAGAGGACGAAGTAGAGAAAGGACGAGTAACGCTTCCAGACACGAGGTTGGCGGGTGATTATTTCGGGATGGATAAACTTCGTCTCCGAAATGGACGTGATGTTTGTTTCATCGACGCTCCCTCTTCGATCTTACAAGGCAGTGTCCTGACCCCAAGCCTGTGACCAGATTCTCGGTTTCAGCCTTGCTATGGGGACATGTGAAAACATATCTCTGCTTCTATTAAGTGGCAGACTAATGATGCTCACGCGTTGTGTCTAGAACATCGCTCCAGGTCTCAGCATACATGGCATTGTTAACACCAGAACCTGAGGAAGAAGAGTCAAGTCATCACATTCAACTTCTGCAAGGTGGTCAGGGTACTCTTGAAGGTATCCAGCTTGGAGATATGATGACTTACCGATACGGAGTCGTTGGTGCACCCATCAGACGCCAAGTGAGGCATTCGCTCAACTAAAGCTGCCCACAAACCATCCACCTTCTGCTCACTTGTATCAGAATCACAAAATTCTCGAGCACCAGGATTCGAGAATGAACAAAACTTCTGCCTCGAAGGCACCCAACCACTTTCGTGGTATTTGGGCCTTCGAGGTAAGTGAAACCTTTCGTCTGCGTTGTCGCATTCGAGGGGTTTTCTCGGTTCAGGATTCTACGAGGTGCAATCATCATTTCAAAGCTCCCATTTAAGTGTGAAAGCATGGTGTACTGATAAGTCATGTAGTCAGGGACCGGTTGGCTTCATCCGAATTGCTGGTAAGAAATGCGAGAGACAAAAATATATGTGGCACAATTATGGATACTGGGGAGTGGTGAGGCAGAAGCCTCTTCCCCCGAGAATCTTGATGGAACTCGATACAGATGGACTCGTGTCTGGTAAATATGCTCATGAACAGTCTACCAAGACCACAGCGCGCTGTGCCACTTAATGACTTGCGTAGCATGAGTATACCGCGGGATGCCGTGGCAGCATCACGATAGATATTGTCGCTTTTGAGAGAGCTGGTTCATGGCTCAAGTCAAAAGAGGGATTTCAGGTGTGCTTCTCTGTGGAAGTGTTCAGCTATGAATCCACATCCTGCCAAAGCATCAGTCCAACCTTCCGATACTCACCTGCGTTGATGAAAGAAAGAACATCACCGCTATCCATCTTTCCAGCGTCTTGAAACCTCATCTTGCTTTGAAACGTCTCTCGATTCTTCCCTTCGGTATTCCGGCTTACCCAGAACATCACCCTTCACTTTTGTCTCTGACTTCATCACAACTTCACGGTCTTGTCGATGACAACACATGTTGCGGCACCAGCGATAGAAGCAACAATTTAATCTCTGACGAGACTGTCATCTCTGGTCCTGATCCAATCCACCTCTGTTGAGCAAAGGTCTCTACAAGTGGAGCGAACGACACCATGCACGACACTCTGACAACCTCGTCCCCCACCCGGACCGCCTCTTCCGCGAGCCTACTGAACTCTGTGTTGAGTTCAATCACTTTCCCCGAGGGAACCGCATCGATGACATCCGTTGGGTTGGAATCAGAACACGCACCAGTTTCTGCCGACGGGCACAATATGTCGAGTCTCGTATTGAGAGGAGAAGCAAGGAGAAAGGAGTGCTTCGCGAAAAATTGAGTTACAAGAGAAGGTGTCTTGGTGATGATCGGGCATTCAGATCCAAGCTGCGCGATCGTCTGACGAGCGTAGAACAGGCTCTCTCAGCAGAAACGAAGGTCCTCGAAGAGATTGACAAGAAAATGAAGCAACTTAAGGCCGAGCACATCTCCGTACAAGAGAAGGCTGCTCGGCACCAGAAGGATATCAATTCGCTAAGTGAGCAACTCCAGCATAGAGAGGAAGATATCCGCGCCCAACAAGCCGATATTGATCAGCTAGAGAAGGAGCTGAAAAATGCCTCAGAAGGTGAAATCGCCAAAGTGGCTCGCCAAGCGGAAATCCTGGACATGAGTGACGCAGATCTCACAGCCATGGCGATCCATGCTATGAAAAACCGTGAGTTTGGGAATAAGATTGATAAAGCGGCACAAAAAACGGTGACTTCAATCATGATCAGGGACATTCAGAGCGAACTATTTAGCAGAATGACAGGCGTCACTCCGGACAAGTTCCAAGACCTAATGCAGCAAATCCAATCCGCCAAAAATGCGTTGTCTAGCGAGAAGAAAGGGGACAAAGATGATGGAAATAGAGACAACACCGAGCACACTGAGAATGATCGCAACAGTGTTGGAGCCCCCGATGGTGAGTGCAACGATGTTGGTAAGCCGCAGGAAAGTCTCGGCGGCGGCGAAGACGAGGACGACGTGTTCATGCACCCAATCCGACGCGCACGCCAGTCATTGAACGAGCACCCCCCCCGGAAAAGCAAAAAAAATGTCGGGTCCAGATGTCAGACCTCCACAAAACACCGTTTCCGCAACATGGTCCAGTGGGCAGCCAAGCAAACGTAGACACGTCAATACCACGGGGTCCGGTTGGTGATGGGGCCTGATGATGGATTTGATCATTGGGCCTGTGTCGAAGCCGAGTTTCCAAGCATCTTTCGGTGAAGATTTCGTTCGCGGAATACATTGACCAAGGAAAGGATTTCGGGGTTTTTGGGGGTCCTCGATTCACACAAGTCCCCGCGATCCCTGGCATTGATCGAGTCCCTTGGAGAAGAACACAGCGGCTGAAGAGTCCGGACAGCACGGGACGGTGCATGTACTTTCACCCTACCTCCCCTTGACTACCTACCTAGGCACGAGCTCGTTGGAAATGTTTTGGGAAAATACACGTACACATTTGGGAGACAGATCGGGACCGGGAGCGGGGATGGGAGCAGATGTGTGGCCCAGATAGATAGATAGCAATGCTGAAATCATATTCCAACAGCGGCGGCAGAGCAGCAATTCCAATTTGATATGACAATGAAATTGCGAGAATCGAAATCACATATTCGTGTCAATCAATGGTACAGATCTAGGCATAGACACAGACGAGTGGTTTGTCTCGCCGGAAAACAGTAAAATGGTTTCCCGCCGCCACGTCACAACGAGTCTACAGGCCAGCTCTGAGAATTCATACATACGGAACAGACAAATAAACAGATAAACACAGTTCGTCATGTGCGTTTAGTCCCCGTCGAGAGGTGGAGATGGAAATACAGACAGACGAACGCTCTCAAACGATGCGATATGAGATGATCCGATACGATGGTGTGGTTGTCGTCAAGGGCCCGTCGTCATGTACACGTCTCCGCCGGCGCCGGCACCAGAGGGTGTTGAGCGCGGGTACTCTGCCGACGAGGCTGGTGGTCCTGTCCTCGCCCCTGGTCCGACCCTCGCCCCTGCTACTGTCAGCGTCATCGGTGCTGTCGTCATCGTCTCTGCTGCTGCTGCGAAGGTATTGTTCGCAAATCCCCTGGGTACTTCACCATTGCCTGCGCTGCTTGCACTGTGGAGGTATCCAGTTTCACCAGACTGGGCATATCCACTGCGTGGTGCATCACGGGCAGCCCCCACCACGCCAGGGTCATCGATGGTGTCGCCATCACTCTCCCTCTCTCTCCGTTCCACATCCACATCCTCGCCGACCATGGCCATGGCATTCTCATCCTCGACATCCTCGACATCCTCGGCATCCTCTTCCTCGGCGGACATCTCGTCCTTGCGCTGGCTCACCTTGTCGAACATCCACTGACAGACCTCCTCCTTGTGTTGCATCATGATTTGATTCAGACCCTCCGCGTCACTCCGCACAAGCCGCCCATATCGCTTGCTCACTCTCCCGCTTTCTTTCTCCTTCTTCCACAGACTGTGCCTGCCACTAACAACCACTAGTGAATTGTTGCGATACCACTGACTCACCCAGTGGTTACCGCTGGGATTGCTGATAGGGCGAATTGGCTCAGTGGAGATGAAACACACGATCCCCACGAGGTTTTGATAGACGTTGTCGTTCACCGACACCAATTTCGCAATGGCGTGAAATGCGTGGCCTGCACCCATCAGGATAATTCCCCAGGGAAAGTCGTATGGCTCGACGTAGTTTTCCCAGATGTACAAGGCAAGTTTCTCGCCTTCTTTTCTTGCAAGGTCGGTCGTTGTGGAAGCGTATTCGACATCTCTCGACGATCCATGTGGATGAGTGGAGGAAAGAAAGTCGGACTTTGTGTTCGGATCGTCGTCGGTGGAAACAGTGATGAACTCGGGCACGTTGATGTCTATGACTCCCATGCCGTGGGAAGCCGCCCAATGGACGTACGACTGTGTGCCGTCAACCTTTTGCATGCGTGAGCAGGTTGAAATAGTCAATCATGAGAAGGAAACCGGCAAGGGGCAGGAAAGGAAAGGAAGACGGAGCAACAGGAAACCGGCACATACAAGCCATGTATCATGAGGCTTCTGTACCGCAGAAAGACCATTGTGGGCGCTGAGAAGATCAGGTCTGCAGCAAATCTTGTCAGCCTTCCTTTTGAGGCGGTCCAGCGAGCCGTTCGGACTTACGAGTCATGGAATATGATCATCAAAGCTTTCTTGGTCTCGTAGTTGGGTCTGTCCTTTATATCAGCAACGCCTTCCTGATCTGCCCCGGGGACTGCGACTCACGTCGCGAGGACCTGCTGGTCAAATGATTTTGACACTGTATCGCGGTAGATATACAGCTGGGTGAACTTGTATTTATCATAGAGGTGCATGGCCTGATACCGGCGAATGATGTCTAGTTAAGACCGAGGGGGTGAGCTTGGTTACGAGGGTGAACGAAGGGCAATGAAAGCGCCTCCAAAGTCGAGCTCTTACCATGCAATCTTTCTCCACCAAATATTCCGCCGATGTGGTCCTTGGGATAGATACTTCTCCAATACTTCGACTGGACATTTCGCACCTTGGCCACGGTGTTCACCGCGTCCTGTGTGGCTGCCGTAGCTTGCAGGCGATCAGGAGGTTCACCCATCAAGGTGCGGGTGACCGCGAGGGCGGATTTTGAGATAGCGCGGAAGTTGTAACCCCCTTCCAAGCACACAGCAATCCTCCCTCCAGCGAGGGACATTAGCATGTGTGTCATGTGTGCATAGCAGGGCGGTGAGACGAAACAACCACCCAGCTCATCTCCAGCTGCGGCGTCGAATCCTGCAGCAACGACGACGAAATCCGGGTCGAATTCGTTCGCGATGGGCATGACGACGTTCTGGAACGCGTACATGTAGTCACCATCGCCCATGCCTTTTGTGGGCCAGGGAATATTGACGTTTCTTTCACGGTCGTAAGCGTTGGTCATCAAGGGCCGAGGAGCAAGTTCATGGACTTACCTTCCCTCGCCAGCGCCAACGCCACAGTGATACATGTCACCCTCGTTCCCTGTAGGGTAGAACGTCCCGTTCATGTGTACGTGCAAGGATATGTAGAGAACGTTGGGGTCATCGTAGAAAGCTTGTTGACAGCCATTGCCTGAAACATGTCAGCTTGAACGTGCAAGTTTCAAGAGTGCGAACTTGGCTGACCGTGATGGACATCCCTGAAGTCTTCAGCGTCAGCTCTGTATTCCAATCCAACGAGGTGAGGACAACTGACCAATCCACGACCAGGATTTTCCTGCAATGTTCCCCAAAGTCATTCTGGCAGACCCTAGAAGCAATACAGACATTGTTGAAGAGACAGAACCCCATGGGTCTCCCAATCTCTGCATGATGCCCTGGAGGTCGGATAACGGCGATGGCATTTTTTACCTTCCGTGACATAACCGCTCGACAGGTCTCAATCGCCGCGCCTGCAGATAGTTTGGCAGAGAAGAAGGATAGCTGATTAAAGTATATTGAATCCATGTCTTGACGATCCGAAAGATCGATAAGCTCTTCGTCGGTCATTACTGCAAAGGATTCCCCGGTCATTAGCTCGGGCTCCCAGTGACGAAGTGTGTCATTGTTGAGGGGCTTACCCGCGGTCCCTTTTACTTGTTCATACTGCTCCTTCGTATGGACCAGACGGCACTCGGCCTCCGTGGCTTCACGGGCAGGTATTCGATACAGGGGCATTTCTACCACTGGAGGGTGCTTCTTGTCGTCAACCAATCCGGCTTCACAAAGCTCCTTGTAGATGTAGTATATCCGTCTAGGATCTTCCGGATGCACACCTTCGCCGGTCGTCGTTGCTACTTCGGCATGATATCGCATGCGCTCATCATAACATAGACCAGTCGGAAGCTTGGAAATCGGGAGACCACGCTTAGCTGGTGCCACAGGCTCATGGATTTCAGAAGAGGTGTCGGATAACAAGCTGTCTTCGGACTCTTCGTCCGATGGACTGTCGATTTTCAGGCGGTTGTCCATTTCCGTCGAAACGTCAGGTGTCTCTCTCATAGATGTATCACCTGACGGGAAGGCTGGCCTTTGTACCTGCGGAACGGGGAGGGGAAACTGTGTGCCGACCGAAGAATTAAATCCCTCCTGGCCCGGTGGCGGTACATGAGCCATTCTGAGGGATTTGAGTGGACGGTGAAATTGTAAAAACTGCCTTGACTTTAAGAGGCAAGCAGGAGATTGGTTAGAGAGGCTGCATAGTGGTTGTAAATGCCACGCCAGTGAATGAAAGGTGATCGAGCTTCTTTAGACCGAGCAAAGGCTAAGGCGACGTCAGTCACTCGAGTACACCAGCTATGAATGCCAGTCGACGTGATATCAAGGGGGGCCTTTGTACATGATGGCGATTTGGTACATACAAGTACAGCGGCCGCTCTTGGCTAGAAGCGTCAAGCTAATCACATACCTGTACTGGCACTCGAGCGACTTTGTTCTCGGATTTTGAGCTTCGTAAGCTGTGACCAAACATCCAGCAAGAACAATAAGCCGGTAGATCACAGGAAGATATGTTAATTGACAATGGATGCTGTTTGTTGATTCCGTCACCTTTATTGGGGGCAATCAATACATCTCGAGGTGGAACGTTGCAAACGAAACCGGGGCTAGGGAGTGCCAAGAGGCGTCTCACGTGACGACAATAGGAGGCGATGATCACGTGCATGTTCTTTTCAAAGACCATTTAGAATGAGCCAATCCACAGGATGATAATTTGGTTTTTGCTGTCAATACAGGAGACTCGCATTTTCCTATCTGAGCTAGGTCGGAGTAAGGATACGTATTGGAGCTTCAAAGCAAAGCATATCACCAGGTGAGACTTGATCTATGTTGCGCTTCGTCCCGTGTTTCGCCTGATCTTCTTTTTACCTCATGCAACACTAACCTCGATTTCTGAAGCCTCGTTTGGGAAGGAATTATTGGTCTTTTTAGACGATTGGTGGTATTACGGCCCGTCTTTTAAGCCTTGCCAGCATCGACCTTGGCAATGTACGCTAGATTTCCATGTCAGTTTACCAGGTCCCGAATATTCCCGATCGGATAAGGCACTCACCCAAAAGGTCGATGACACGTCGGGAATATCCCCACTCGTTGTCGTACCAGGAAACGAGCTTGACGAAGTGGTCGTTGAGGGCGATACCAGCCTTGGCATCGAAAATGGAAGAGTGGGTGTCGCCGTTCAAATCACTGGAGACGAGATCATCCTCGGAGTATGCCATGATACCTGATCTTGTCAGACGGTCTGAACGAAAGTGTCTCAGATTTGGTCTTACCTTTGAGGGGTCCAGCACAGGCGTCCTTGATAGCTTGCTTGATTTCATCGTACGAGGCTGGCTTTTCCAGGACGCAAGTGAGATCAACCACGGACACATTGGAGGTAGGCACACGCATGGACATGCCAGTGAGCTTGCCATTGAGAGATGGAATGACCTTGCCCACAGCCTTGGCGGCACCGGTGCTGCTGGGGATGATATTTTGGGCAGCGGCGCGGCCTCCTCGCCAATCCTTGGCGGATGGTCCGTCAACAGTCTTCTGGGTAGCGGTGTATGAGTGAATGGTGGTCATGAGGCCTTCCTTCATGCCGAACTTGTCGTTGACGACCTTGGCGAGAGGTGCCAGGCAGTTGGTTGTGCAGGAGGCATTGGAGATCACGGGGATGTCGGGCTTGTATGATTCGTGATTGACACCCATGACGAACATGGGAGCATCGGCCGAGGGAGCAGAGATGACGACCTTCTTCGCACCACCCTTCAAGTGGGCAGAGGCCTTTTCCGTGGTCGTGAAAACACCGGTCGACTCAACAATGTAATGAGCACCAGTCTCCGCCCACGGGATCTCGGCCGGATCTCTCTTCATGTAGAATGTGACTTTCTTGCCATTGACAATCAAAGCATCTCCCTGGACCTCAATTGTTCCCTTGAAGACACCGTGGGTGCTGTCATACTTGAGCATGTATGCCTGAGAGGTGTCAACAAGGGTTTCGAGATCTGGCAGGATAACGGAGGGTACGTACAGCGTATTTGGGCTCAATGAAGGGGTCGTTGACGGCGACAACATGGACATCATCGTGCTCGATACTGGAAAGTGCTATGGTTAGAGAGAGGGGAGATTTCGGAGTCCGATGAAGGTGCTGGTGTGACACTCACGCATTTCTGAAGACCTAGCTTGCTGTTAGCTATTTCGACCACGGACAGCGCTAGCTGCGACTTACAATTCTGCCAATGCGGCCAAAGCCGTTGATTCCGACAAGAGTAGCCATGGTCTCGTCAAGATGTGAAGACTACTACAGAATTTGCTAAGTCAGCCTTGATAGGAACAATCTCAATGGGAGCTCCCAGTGAAGTGAAGACGAGACAGGAAGCAAAAGCACTTGAAGGGGAGGACTGCGGACAACTCACATGAAATTTAAAGGAGTATTCGGATGTCCGGATTCAAAAGGTCGTCGAAAGAGCAACTTGATATAACTCGAAGAAAGAGCAAAGTGGTGTGACGGGAGGATGAGGAAAGCTTTTTGTTGTCCCCTGCGAGGACCAAGTGGTGAGTCGAGCGATAGGTGAAGAAGAATGGTGGGGCAGATGTTGACGTTGAGGGGCAAAGCTGCCCTCCAAACCATGGGTTTTCTTGGCCGACGACAAATGACCGTCTTCCGGTCTGTCTCGAGCCTTCCGAAGGCCACAAAACGAAAATGATTGCGATCACTTACCTAAGTACCTGATAATTCTCACTTGTCTTTTCGCCCGAGGAACGATAAATAAACGGCGCCTTTCTGGGGTAGCGTGCTGTATCTGTAGATGCTGGTGCTCCTTCACCATCCCCCCAAACCTCTACGGTCCCCGATATTTATAAGATGGTCTATCCCCCCTTACCCCCTGTTCAAGCACATCACAGGGTCTCCAGAAAGAAAGGCTCCAGTGGCATATGCATCAGGCATGAGTCAACCCACCGCTGATTATCACATACCTGCTCTGATGGAGAAAAAGCAGCAGCATTCAAACAGAGCTTGTTTCATCCAATCGCCTGTCTTGTCCCTACTGGTTATGCGGCACTCGCTTCGGATCATCCAATTGATCCGTGAAACCCTCCGTCGCAGCCGCGCTCTTTTCGTCCAGACTGGCCACCCACTGGCCTATCGAGCAGGATGCTTACAAGAGCAACTCAAAATATTTTCCCAGAGTCTAGCAAATCGGCTTGGGAATGGCATACTCATGAAATCGCAAAAACAGCGCATACGCAAGGGATGGCCGCCAAACATCTTTGCAGACGGTGAGCATTGATTTGCTGTTCTAATGTCTTTGCTAGAACCAAAACCGTATCTATTCCTCAGTCCGGTTGGCGCGCCATGGTTTTTATCCGACTCAAGACTGATACGACTATTCTTCCTTCGCTCCGCCCCGACCGGCGCGCTCAGCAGCTTCGATACTAGCTTTGTCACTCTTTGTCTCGCCCTGTCCCATACCCATCATGCCTCCAGATGCTTTCCACGGCCTCTTCAGTTCACCCACCGCAGGCTTGCCGAAGACGTGAACCTTGATCAAGTTCGACTCCAGTGCGCCCTTCACGGGGATAATGGACTGGATGAGGAGTGGGTTGGTATATTTGAGGTACAAGTGCATGAATGCCATCATGCCGATGCCCATCAACTGGCCCTTGTAAGCTGCCGACAGCTGGGTTTGATCATATTCTTGGATCGTGGTGGTGACAAGCTTGGGCTCTTCTCCAGAGCCCATGGGCGCAGGCTCGACGTATTTCAGGGTCGTGAGATCTGCCATATAATCATCAGCCTGTATGCCCCTCACGGCACTCGTCTCTTTTGCGCACCTCGCTTCGCCTTGATCTTCAGGCCGATATAGTAGTAGAGGCCGAAGATGACCAAGTTGGACACGACGTAGAGGATCCGTACGCCCATCAGAACTTGAGGGTCATCGAAAGGTATCCGCTTCGAGACCTGCATCATCCCAAGGATGATCACCAGGTTGGTGCTGCAAACTGGTCAGTCACGGGCCTCGGGCTCCAAACTAGGCGGGAGATTCTTTACACTTGAGGATTCATGAAATTCATGGTTGAAAGGCCGCAGGGGCGATGAGATACGAGGAGAGAAAAAGAAAGAAGTGATCACGGGCACGAATCTTCTTGGAACTAAGATATCAGGGAAGAAGTTTCAACTTTTGGGGGGGAGAGGACCTCTTTCCCGCAAGGTAGTGCCAAACGGACAGATTGCTATATCGCAATTTCGTCCGCCAAGCGATTTGGAGACTTGGAGGGAAAGAAAATGAAGTGGGTGGCGGGAGGCCGCCACATCAATTGGCGCCTGGCGCAACGTAACCAGGCACGTGAGCAGAAACTGCATTGGTGCAAGGTTCTCCCTCCCTCTCTCCGCATTTCTGGACCATGATCTCAGCCTTGTGCTCTCAAGCGAGACAGAGGCACAGATTATCTTGTTTTGATTCTTATGCGAACCATGTGTCCTGCGTCTCTGAATTGCTGGAGCTTGAGTCCCAGCCTGCGACCTCCGATCTTCATCCCACACCTACGGATATGAAGTGGGAAGAGCAATCTCTCTTATCCCAGTCCTGAAACTGCAGGCCGTACAGCTCAGCAAGCGTCCTTCCTTGCCGTAGGATTTACAGTATGTTGCTTGACATAGCAATTGGACCACCTGTCGTGCAAGTTTTGAGCGTCCAATCTGCGAATGTGGTGCGAGATGGCGTGGTCATTGAGCCTGACAGTCATGCGTTCGGATCATCGTAGAGTTCATCTCTTTTGAGGTGCAACTGGGCGCTCAATGGCCATTCTCCATCTTCTCCTCTTCTGTCCCCCCGTCGCTCAGGACCTTTACTTCAAATTTCCCGTCCGGCCCCGGTAGGGCGCCTCCGCCGGGCATGACGCTCGCGACATTCCCTTCCTCATCGACATACTCGAACCGATAGCGCGACAGGTAGTGCGGGATTGCGCTCAACTGCGGCCCGTAGCGTGCGGTATTATCGTACAGCTCGAACAGGGGGACGGCCAGCAGTTTCATGTTTTTGGGCACGCTGAGCACCTTGTTGGGCGGGAGATGGATTAGGTAGAGTTTCTTGAGCTCTTTGGGCCGGGAGACGTGGGCGGGGAGAAATGGGTAGAGAAAGGTTTCGTGGTTCGGGCGCCACCTGGTAGTGTCGTGTTAGAATAAATCGTTCATCAAGAGAGACGTCAGGGCGGGAGATGCAAACCATTGTGCGAGACAGTCTCCCACTTCCCATTCCGTGTCCCCCTCTTTCGGATTCGTGGGTGCCAACCTCTCGTTCAGCCGCAGCTTGAAGCCTTCAATCTCATCCGCATCATGGGGAAGATAGTCCCCAGGCCTGGTCCCAGACGTTTGTTAGTCAGTGATCAAGCTGGCACGACACCCAGACGGCCACGAGGAATTTTGCGCCAAAAAAAAAACAACTTACAGTTTGAAAAAGGCGTTTGCAATCTGCAGCATGAGGACGTGCGGGTGGTTGTGTTCGTGACAGACGAGGATGCCCTCACACGTCCGTCTCATGCCATATTTCTCATAATGTTCTTCCAGTCTCTTTAGCCTGGCCACCACCGATGGGTCTTCCTCTGGTTGGGTCTCTTTGGTTCCAAACGTGTAGTTCGACAGAGGATATAATCTGATCGTGGGTGGTTGGTTGGCTGTGAATGGAGGTGGGAGAATGGGCCTTGAGGGAATAGGTTAGTTCTTGGGAATTCATTGGCTGTGGGGGTCGGATTTCGTACGGATAGGAAGATTTCAATGTCGTTGTGGTGAGTGTCGACATGGTGGTGGTGTCTTCATCAGTCGCAAGATGATTCACACGGATCATTCAAGGTGCGTGGATTTACAAAGGTTCAGACTGCGGGGAAGAGAACAGAAGACAGGAGCATGAGAAGGCGAACACAAATGAAATGATTCCTTGTGAACCCTTGAGATTTTTTGCTGAATCCAAAAAAAAAAACCGGTTGGTCTCTGGCCGTTTGGATGCCGCGTACAAAGCTGCGCCAATGTCGCGACGCGCCCACACAAGAATCCTACATTAAGATCTCTGGGGTACGCAGCCTCGCAGCCTCGTCATAACCCAGAGATGCCATCATCAACAAGACATGGAGACAAACGCACAAATGTTCTACAAGATCAGTAAGTCATTTTATTATTTGAAGCGTATCCTATCTTGAGATCGATTTCTACTATACAGGTGCATACAGGTGTATGGCGACTGTGCTGTCTGCTGCCGCGACTGCTGCCAGAGCAAGACAAAAGCTGTTCAGCTCGACAATTATTGGAGAATTGCACTCGGAAGCACTCGGATAAATTTCGGAATATACATAAAACGAGCACCAGAGAACCCAGAGAACCGCAAGATCAACGTTTCGTTTTGTTTATGAATGGAAGATCATGATGATACCACATGATTTGAGTCCTGCTCCTGGTCTATAAGAGGGATGCCAAAAGAGAAATCGCCGGGTAGAACTAATACCAGAGACTGAGTGTCGCGACCCTAGACAACCTCATATCTCGGCACTTCGAGGCTGGATTGTCGCATCCGCACCGCTGAGGTCGAATTCGATACCCTGAGACATTCCCCCATACATCCACCACGAAGATTGTAGACTGGTACATATCTGCGGTCATCAAAGCGACCTTGGACCCATACCAGCGTTTCTAATTTACCGTGGTCCAGCTTAATGTTCGAGGGTTTCGCTGTCCTGCGCCGAAGCCCCTTTCTCGGGATGGGTCGCCACCATCGTCACTTGACCAGCTGCTGATTTTGATTCCGAGACATGGGATTTCTCGACGATTTCGGCCGTGGCTTCGAGTCGCTTGGCCTTTGGCGTGATGAGGAACCGGCGGAATGCGACGATGCTCCTTCGTCCTTCCCATATCGGAAGCAACGTGATGACGGTGGATGCGTAGAAGGCCCAGAGGAACGCCACGACGATCCAGCCGATGAAGAAGTGCTTGCTGAACACGTAGCGACTACCGTAGGTGTGATTTGCGTCTTGGTCAGTTACAAAGTCCTCGTTGTTGCAGAGAGAGCTAAGCAAGAACCAACGAAGGGGGGACCGTACGTAGGAATAGGCGATAGGAGCACGTAGGCCAATGTCAAGCCAACGGATGCCCAGATTACATTCCTCCTTGCTCGAAGGAGCATGGCGTTTTCATCCTCGCGCTGGACCTCTGAGAGACTCCTCATGGTCTCTTCTGCCTCGACGTGAAACTGTGGCGGGGATTCGAGCCCTGCGGTTCCATCGAGCGCGTCTTCTGCCAGTTTGATCTTTTTGAGTAACTCCCAATCATAGTTGTCTGGCTTGATGAAGGTAAACAACGGCACCAGCATGATCGGCCCGGGGAGAGACATCATGTTTCCAGCAACGAGGGCGAGATTGCTTGAAAGCGTGGTAATGGAGAATTGACCCGATTAAATGACCAAACCGAACGAGCTGCTTTCCTGTGGCGTTGGGGTTGATGCAGGCTTGATAGACATCGTATGTCATGAAAGCAGTGACAGCCATGGTCTCGGAGGGAAAGGAGGACGTCACCGCCATAAAGATCATGGTCAGGATAGCAGCTGCACCACCGTTACCCATCACCGCCATGGCACCGTAAGGCATTGCTATGCCAGAAGCAACCTCGAAGGCGTTCATCCGGTTTGGATATGTGGGAAAAGCAGGGAGATGTCCGGTCGCTGCGGCGAGAGGACCGTATGTCGTGGCCAGACAGAATGGAATGGAAAACCACGCGGTGCCGCCGAAGAGATAGCCCATCAGGGTGCTGGCTGGGTTGGCGGCAATGGCTTCCTGGGCGAGTTGAGGGTCGACGCAGCCTCCGAACCCAGCTCCAGCGAAAATCAGGCCCAGGAAACCTCCTTGGACACTTCTCATGGTGAGATATGACCTGTCTTGGTTGCCAGCCACGGGATGTAGTTGTGCAGCTTCCGTCAGGAGATCAAACATGACGCTGGGCGAGCCGACCACCTTCGAGGTAGAGTATACCACGAAAAGAGACATCAGCATGATCATGTAGATGACCACCGTATGCATCTGAACGAGTAAAAAAGGGTCAGAATGCTGGAAACATCAGGCGTCTAAAGAGATCGAGTCCTTACCCAATCGGTCAAAAAGGTCGCTTTGAGTCCTCCCTAATTCCCATCAGTCATAGGAGCGTGATAACAGCAGACTTTTGTTCCTTACCGCCAGATAATATAGTACCACGCCCACGGGGAAGAGGAAGCACGCCGCATCTTGGTTCAATCCGTCAGAGTTGCGAACACGGCGGAGCCTCCCACGAGGAGATTGATGCCCATAAAGAAGAGAGAGTAGAAGCCCAGAACGCAGTGGGCTGCGGCTCCATAGCGCGTGCGTACAAATTCCAACAGCGTGTGCGTGTTTGGGGCTTTGCGCTTCAGCTCAATGGCCGCAACCGAGAAGAGGAGGATTTGCACCGAAGCTCCAGCGCCGCCCTGCGATACACAATGTAAGCTGGAATTCAGATTGACTTGGTGACCAAGTGGCTCTTTACCCAGAAAAGGACCGGACATGCCAAACAGATAGCCTCAGTGGCCGACGTGAGCATGGTGGCAGCCGTCGTCCAGGACGAGACGACGGCGGAAGCTGTCAAGCCAGTTTTGACCAAAGAAATAAACCCAAGGACTTGACCAACTTACCGATCTCTTGCCAGTCATGAACATTTCAGACGTCTGCTTTTCGGCGAAGAAGTGGCTCAACCCCAGGATACCCCACACATGCCGATGGCGAAGAGGGCACCAAAACCGATGATGTACCCATAGCCAAAACCCTGACTGAAGATCTGGAAGACGTGGAATTGACGATCGTAAATCTTCAGCTCGACGGGGACGTTGGCCTCCTTGGCCTTGAGTGCGAGGGCACGCGCGTCGTCGAGGAGAGTCTCGTAAACCCCGATGGGACCGAATAGTGGTGGGAGACCTGTGAGATCGCCATCGAGAGCCGAGAGGAGAGGACTTGTCTTGTCTCCCAAGGGAAGATAGAGATCGGCACACTTGTCCAGCACGGCCCTGTGACACATGGGTTCCAGCTCGTCCATGGTCATCATCGACTCGCTCTCGTGCTCCAGATCGATCCACGGAGAGATGGGCACGGCACACGCTGGAAGAGGGTCACCGGATTCCCTGGCGACAAACATGCTCGCCAGGGTGAGATTGCCGCCGGTCGAGACGCCCGCAATTGCCACGCGTTGAGGGTTGATACCCTTCAACAAATCAGTGATGGGGTCCACCACAGTACTCGGTAGCGGAGGTTGGTCGTCAATGACGGATCGTCTTGTTGCGTCTGCTCATTCGTACGAGACTCATGATCGAGATATCGGATCGCGGCAGCCGCCGACGGTATCAGAGCAAATAATTCCCCGGCGCAGCCGAAAAAGGGCCCCATCATCGGGGTCTTGAGCTGCGACAGGGCATCAAATATCACTCGAGCGTTGTCGACAACAGAGGTCTCGGACGTAAAAGGGTGACTGCGTCAACACGTATGCATAGAACTCTGTCACAAACAATACCATCTCACAACAACTGACCAAGTGTTCTGTGTTGACCAACGTGACGGGGAAGAGTTGTCGGGCCGCATTGAGGTGGTGAAACGAGTTTCCCTCTGTATCGCCTCTGATGCCCTAGTAGTGATGGGTTAGAAGCAAGAAAGCACCATCATGGTTTGACCAGTCAGTTCGTTACCTCGATGAAACACAGCAGAATCATTGCCAGCACAAAAGCTCTAGTGCGAGATCGGTTTGACCCGACGCGAACCTCGTGAGCCCATACTTCAGTCCGCGGAGTGCTTGGGCATAATGCCCTATCTTGTTGTATGTAATCTGGAAGCGAGCTTGATTGTGGACCCTTGTGGGGTAGCTTCGCTGGCAACTATCGTGATTGGTTCCAGACGGGGTTAGTCAAATCGACCCGTTTAAATCGGGTTTAGAACACATACATAGATATACGGGCTGGAATCTGTCCATGGTCCTCATTCTATACGGGGTAGACGTAGATTATCTAACGTGAATCACAACAATTGCCCCTTGTTTGTGTCTATTCGCCGCTGTTCAACGATGGTGGACGGTACACAGTTCGCAAGGGTGCCACCGCTGGAATTGACTTGGCGATGAGCTCCTGATCCAAAAATCAGGCCATCAAGGAGTTTAACTAGAGTTATATTGAAACAGGGTCCGACTAGCTGCACCGTAACTGTGTGGAGCTATCGTGCACATTGGCTACCGGGAACCGCCCCAGTTTTGTGAATACCTCACACTCACAAATCTAACCTAGACCTTTTGGTCCATGACTTGAGCATTGTGCTATGTGCTATATACATGTGTTGGCGCATTGATTGACTCAAAATCCTCACTCCCGTGAAACCTCGTGATGTTGGTATATTCCTGGCGGTCGAATAGCTTTCCAATCACCCGAAACATCCAATCTACAGCATTTCGAGCCACTTGGCGCCTCTCGGGGTGTTAAGGAAAACACCGCGGGTCTCTGGGCATTGCGACCTATCTAAAGTTTGCGCTACTCCCATCGCTCTATCGTTCTAAGAGGTCTGAAGATGACTCTCTGAATTTACGCAGAAGCTGTCATGGAGGTCGCTTGTGGACTGCATGTTTCGAACAATGGCAAAAAATAGAGTGCGTTTTTGTGCGGAAATCGGTGAGGGCTTTCAGGGGGTCAGGAAGGCTATAGTCGTTAGAGATCACCTCGTTGTCGCCGTAGTTCACACCGATAATGTTTTGGTGGGGGAGGGGGGGGGGGTTCACTGCCGGTTAGTATATCTTGGATCTCTTGGTCTTCGCCTTGCTTGTTGCTCATGAGAGTGATTGCCTTAGTTGATCGAAGCACGGTGTGGGTGGATGTTCCTGCCTGGAAAATCTTCATCCTTTGTGCCGAGTCTGCCTTGGCAATGCGATCCGCTGGTACGAGTTATTCTTCTACACCATACAATCACGCAAGCTGAGAAGAGGAAGGCATTGAGCGTTGTAGCAGGTGATGATGGCGACTGAGAGCTCCGGGAAGACGTCGGCATAGGCTTGAGCTAGGTCTGATCGCGGCCTGTACTTTGATCTGGTTCCAACCAAGCGCGACCAGGTTCGCAGTATCTTTCGTGTAGCGGACAGATGTAGCTATACTTGGCTGAGTAGGAATTGTTGACATTATTTGCTCTTTACCCATCAGGCGGCAAGCGGACGGAAGATAGAGGGCATTGCAGGACAAGGGAGGATAGATGTCGTCCCGGTAAGACGTCACTGATCGAGAGGAGGAATGGCGGGAGAGGGAAGGTGTTTCCCTAGGTCGATTGAGGTCGTAGAAGAGCGTTATGAGACCCGTGGCTGACGTCGCGGGTGGTGATGGTGTCATAGCGAATAAAGGAGGCGACAAGTTGGCTTCCCCATGTATCTATTCGAGTCCCTGCTTCCACTACGAGCAGTGAACACAGTTTGTTGTCGTCCTCTTTATGCACCCAGGCACTACCGGACGTCCCTACATTTGACTCTAGTCTCGTAACGCAACAATGAAAACGCCGCTTTTGACTTCACGGCCCTCGCCCAACCGCAAGATGAGACCAGCGTAAGGCGAGTCCAACACACTTCCCACAGGCGGCTGCGTCCGTCTATTTCCTTAGATACAGGTGCGATGATCCCTTCATCGCTGCGGCCACCAGTGCTCCAGCCCCTCGAAGGGTGAGACACGGGTAGCCCTCACCCTGGCTCACCCTTGCGAACGCGAGCCGGGGGTGAGCACAGGGCGGCATCACCCTTGGCCAAATGGGGGTGGAGCGGCGTGCCGTTTTTACTTACCTTGTCTCAAAGGCAACGTTGGAATCTCCTTCAACCTCACAGCTTGGACTCAAGGTCCTCGAAACTTTGCAGATCTTCAACTGGGACAGGTCCCTTGCTGACTTCCAGGCCGGCTCTCCACATTGCCACATCTTTAATTATGACGGGGGGTGGGATTTGTGCGGCCACCTCAACGACGTTGTTGGCCGACTCCACTGGCTTGATCTTGAGCGCAATCTGCATTTGTGGGATAGCTTCTTTTATCTTTTCGAGGACTTGATCGTTCTTCAAGGCGGGTGCCGACTTTCCAAGGTATTCGGTGATTGCATTCGAGACCAAGGGCAGGTGTGAAAGGTCAATCTTCTCGAATTGAGCCTTCAATCTTCCTTCGTCAACCTCGACACCCAGAGATCTAAGCATTTGTTCAAGGAGCCCCACAAACTGATCCTTTTGTTCGGCAGGCGAAATCTCTGGCACTGAGCTTGTGGCTTGAGCCTCGAGATGAATTGAAAGCTTTCTTCGCTTCGGGGACTCTGGATCGATATACTGAGCATAAAACTGTTTCATATCATCCTTGGTGAGCTGTCGGATGACGGCGACATCTCTATCCACTTGGTAGAAGTTGAGATATTCACCGCTGATGTACGCCCACAGCCGGCCGGTTTCGAAGTCGAGATTTTTGAGTTTCTCCAATCGTTTGTTGACAAGGCTTCGTTTGTGGCCCTCGAACTCTTCATTTGACATCGACTCAAGATCTGATTTGAATTTGAGTAAAAAGGCATTGATCCGGGTTTCGAGATAGTCTGGGTCCCGTTCGCTTTGAATGAGCACTCTGTAACCCATCGTGGCCGCTGCAGGACGGGTCCCGCTCCATACGACGTATCCAAGTTGTTCTTTAGTCCTCAACTGATCGAACGCGGGTTCATCCGTCATCTGGCTGAACAGCTGTGCTTTCGCTCGCAGGTCTAGGTCCATAACATGGCCGATGTCCAGATAATATTCGATCGCATGGTTGATATTGTCGGGATCACCCAACGCTTGTTTGTAAACGAAGTTGCTTCCTTCCGGGATGATGACATTCCTTCGCAACAACCAGTCCGAGGGAGGAAAGGCGCGTGATTTCAACGTTGTCTCGATGAGGTTGCCGATTTTCTTGGCTTCTTCTTTATACAAGTTCCCATGTACCAGCACTTCGAAATGTGCCTGCTGGAGGAGTTCTGGAACAAACGTTCTAATGTCGTCTACCGTGATGTGCGGAAGTTCTTTTGCATAGGCGTCGTTCATCCAAGACCGTTCATTCAATAACCATCTGGTGTAGTCTCCGATCTGATAGTACGGCTGCTGATATGCCCAGTTCTTATACTTCCTGGCCATACGTTCTTTGATGATTTCGAATCGATCGGTTCGGATCTCAATCTCCCGGATCGTCGTCAAGATCTTCTCTAAGAGGACAGCCATCTTGTCATTGTAGCCATGGACGTGAATATCAAAGCCAAGCATGTTTGGCCCGATCGCGTAGGCGAGGCCAGATATCTCGGCGTCATAAGAGTAGCTTGACAAAGCATCCTTGACGAGGTTGATGAAGAGATTTGTCTTGACGTAATTGGCAGTGTTTGCAGAGGTAACGGTGTTTCGAATCTTGATGTGCAAATTGGCCTTCGGCACCCAAAAGGTATCATCTTTTTTCCACCACAGGCGGACCTTGTCGTCATTTCGAAGCAACTTTGGCGCCTTTGCAGGTACTTTGACGTCCGCCTTCTCCACGTCCAACTTGGTAGGAATGAATTCATTCTTGTGTGGGAGATGGAGTTCCGCTATTGCGCCAGTTTCGGGGTCAGTCAAAGCTTTTCGAACGTCTGACAGCACGTCGGTCGGTATTCTCTCCACTTTGTACTCGGTCCCATACCACTTTTCTCTCTGATCCCAGCTACCAGGGTACTCCTGAGACACTATCATAAGCCTGAAGTTGTCTTCGCGAAGATATTGCATAGCTTGCGCAATAGCTTGAGCATCGAACTTTCTGAACTTGCTGGTGCTGCTGAGCAGCCAGTTGCGGGGCAAACCAGGCTTCTGCAACACGCAGCTGATAGCGCTCGTAAATCGGCTGGCAGGAGACTTCTGACGGAACCTGAAATCCACTTCCGCCATATTTTTCATCTCCTCGTGCATCCAGGCAACCGGGGGGGTCGCTTTCATCATCCCAATGTACCGGAAAACAATCTTGACAACCTCGTGATAGTTTTTCAACCCATCAGGCGTCAATCCGATATCGATCTCGAAGAAAGCGGATCCTGGGCACACAGGATGGTAGCCAGCAGACAGGGTTTGAGCCAGACCTCTGTCTTTGAGATAAGCCAATATGCTGCCAGGGCCTTCGTGGCCGATCAAGTGACTGATGTATCGAGCAGGCTGTGTTTCGAACATATCCTCCTCGTCTTGCCAAGGGAAACTTATCTCCAAAGAGCGTGACTCCATCACCGGCTTTGCGTAGATCTCGATGGATAACTGATCTTTGCTCAGGACCTCAACATCATCCCAGCGGTTTTCAGGCAAGTTTTTGTTCTTGACTTCGGAGAAAAGCTCCACTACCCAGCTTTCCAGTTCATCAAGGGATTCGCGACCCAACACGACGAGCTTCATTCTGTTTGCAGAGTAATGCTGTTCATAGAAACGAATGAACTCATCACGAATCTTGACACCTTTTTTCTCGGGCTCGTCCCTCAGGGTCTGCAGGTTGCCTGTCGAGAAGTGATGGAACGGGTGCTTGGGATTTGAGAGCGACTTTGCCAGTTGCGATAGACGCCAGCCGTCACTTTGTAGGTTCTTCTTGTTCTCCGAGTCCACCGCTCTTAACTCCCTGTCCAAAGTGTTCTCCAGAAAGAGTGGTTTGACGAAGAATTGTGCGAACCGGTCCAACGCTCCGTACAGTGGCCCTCTCGACAAGCCATTCGTTGTGCCTCCGGCAGTCCCATTGACTGCACCGTTGGAAAGGTTGTCATTTGACTCGTGCTGCGCCGCACACTCAAAGAAATAATTTGTCTGTGTGGCGGCCGTGTATGCATTTGAATGCCCAGAGTTCGAGGAGAGGTAGGAACTGTATTCGTTTTCTACGGGGTACTGTTGGGCTGGTCAGCAAGAGAATAAAGAGAGATAAAACAGAGATGGACAGTCTGCGCGTACTTTCTCAGTGCCCATGAAGAGTAGATGCTCCACGGCGTGAGCCATGCCCGGCATATCCTCCTCGTCCGAAAAGTTTCCAACATTGACGTTGAGACTTGCGCTGGCCTTGTCGGTCTCTGCATCGTGGACGAGTAGAGCCTCGAGCTTGTTAGAAAGCTCGATAACTCGGTATGATCGGTCGTCAAGGTCTGGTTTCTCCAAGTCGTCTGTTATGCGCCTGACCGAGTTCATGACTGTGGCGAAGGTGCGGGTGGAAGATGCGGGAGAAGATCGAGCGGTCGAGGCCAGAGGCTTCGATGACAGTCGATGGCGGGAAGGGGATGATATGCGAAGAGGGATGAGGACCAGGGATGCCAGGCGAACGGATAATCTCATGTAGAACAACTGTCCCTTTTGGAATGATCCAGGCAGGCACAAAGAATGCGTCACGGGTTGAAGAGAGGCCAGGATCAAGTAATCATGGCGGGATTCCCAAGTTGGTGGTGGTGGTTTGAAGGGACAAGAAGAGCAAACATCTCAAACATTGGCACCTGTGCCTGCGCCTGTGCCTTTCCGCCTCTGGCCGCGCATTTCAACTAAGAATCAACTAATTACGCTCCACCTGTGCAGCCTCATGCCAAGCCAAATTGAGGACCTTGGCTCAAGTTGCTAGGATTCTGCCACTATTCTTTGGTCGGACCTTTGCTTGTGCGATTGCGCAGAGACAGTCAGCGGCCCCCTTTCCGGTATTACCAAGTTCGAGACCGAAGGAACACACCCTAGAAAGGGCATTGTTTGGAAAGGGGCGAGACAAACAGCCTGGTCACGCGTGTGATAAATGATGCAGAGACAGGACACGCAACGGCGACACCCCTCTCTTCCTGACCGGCGCAGTGCAACCCGCCGATAACCTCGCATCTCACAGCATCATGATTGATTGAAGGGCGGTCTGTGCGAGTCTGTGTTGCCTGAACAACCCTTTAGGACGTCACTGAAAGGTCGCACAATGCCAGCGCAATGACCATGCATGCATGCCAGTTTCGACTACAATGGAAGCTCCATTTTGTGGGTTGGATCACTCGTTGCAGAAGGCTAGTAGGCAATCTTGTGGACAGAACGCAGGTCCTAAATGCAATTCCCAAGCCGATCATGACACCCATGCCAATGCTTGTCGAGCAGAGAAGAGTTAGGGGTCCTGGGGTCCTACCGGGGTGGGAGAGGGCGGTGTAGCTGACGCCATTAACATCTTGTGCTTTGACGGATGAGGCGATCTTATGTTCAGCCTCCAGCCACTTCAGCCTTCTCTTCCTGGAAACAGGCTGACACATTCAAGGGGATTACGTGCACTCCTGCACCTAGAAACCAAACACTACAGAAAACATTTCGCCCGCATGTCTGTCTGCAGGTACTTAGATAGCAGGGCTCAATGCCGCGAATTTGTGGTGCTGGTGCTCCCCAAAGAAAGTTACTGGGGAAGGAGAATAGGTTCGGCTTGGCGGTGACCATTTAACATGGACCCTGCACTTACATAATTCAGCCGTATCCTCATCACTAAACCACGTTTCTTAAATTCGGCTGGCCACCAGGTCTGAGAGCATTACAGACCAATATGCATGCGCAATTAGAGTTGGGACACTAGATACGGGGTGCTTGGTAAAGGACCCGACATTCGAGTTTCATGATTGTGGGTCATATGATGTGAGTGCGGAGGCGACCACCTTGGTAGCATAATCAAGCAATGAGGATACGGCTAGTAGTACCTCGTAATCAGCCGAAGGACGAGGGCGATACACCAAGTACGAGGCACTTGGTATACGAGGCAGTCCTCGTAAACGCCAGTGGAGCCGTCAAGGCTGAAACATCCAGACACCCAGCCTTCGATTGTCAGAGCCCCAGAGTGCGCAACTGCCAGCCACATGAAGAAATCTCTCGTGGCGATTCAAGCTTCAGTAGTTGAACTGAATGACGAGAGTTTCATTTGCTCACACCGACGTTGAATATGACTTCTGTGAGGTCGTCATGCGAGGAGCAATTCGATCCCTATGTTCGCACATGTGTACCGAGTAGAAAAACACAGGTCGGGAAACAGTACCAGGTACAACCTTGTACCTCTGACATTGTCAAATGTTGTGCACGTGACACGGAATTGACGTATGATGCTGTCGTTATCCCGTGTACCGAGTACCGATACCTCGTAGAAAATCTCTCCAGAGTCTAGAATCGCGGGACAAGGTTAACTTCGCCACGATAGCGATGAACGTATCCCATGCCCAGCCATGAACCAACCATCCAATTTTGTTTACTCTGCTCCAAATAGGACTAGTGCGGGGAGGTTGGAATCTCCACTTACCAGTGTCCGGCCAATAGACATAGAGAAAACCGATCTCGAAAAAGCTTGGCATTGCGCAATGTCGACCCGTCCTCCTCCCTGCCTTCTGAATTCCTCCACAACCGCCAATATCTTACATCAGTCCAGATCTGTTTCGGCTTTCTAGCCACCGACTGTCCTAAAGCCTCGTGCTGATCAAGGCTTAATGCGATCATTCCTCTCATAATGGAGGCTGGGTTGGACAGTGCGAGGTCTGGCCTCGTGGGTATATATCGCAGGGTCGCTTGCAGGTCTGTGCACTTTCCCTTTTCATTTATCCAAGACATTGCTGTGGAGGAGCTCTGATCGAACCCTTGGACACACGGCCAACTGCTCTTTCTGTCCTCTTCTGCTTTCACAATACAGTCAACCCTTACACAAGCACTCGCATCTAATCAAACCATGGCCTCATCTCGCACGAGATCCGCTGCCGTCGCAGCCGCCGCTCTCGCCTTGCTGCCATTGTCTTCTGCACTTCCAAAGGCCCAAGAAGCTGCTCCATCTCAGGGGGACTATTTGGCTTCCTGCATTGCCTCAGTCTCTTCGGACCAGAGGGACATCTGCAACCCGGATTCCGTTGCCGCCATTCAATATTGTATCGTTTCAACAGCCCCGCCTCAGTCTGTTGCGGCCGTGATAGGGGCGTTGGTCACATACTGTGCAGAGCAGCACGGACCAGCAACCACCACCTCTAGGAGCAGCACTGCGGGAGGACGGAGTACTCGGACAAGCACCACTACTTCCTCTGCAAGCACTACCTCACACTCAGCTCAATGGAACGACTGGTCCAACACAACAACGACGACTACTAAACCGCAAGCCACGTCATCTGTTCATTGGGAAGACTGGTCAAACTCGAGCACAACTTCTTGTACATCCTCAGCTTCTCAGTGGATAGATTGGAGTTCAGTTAGCCCCGAGGCCACAGTTACAAGTGAGGCCACAGAGACGTGGTCTGACTGGGCGATCCCAACCTCGCCGGCTCCTGTGGCTCCCGAGATTACAAGCTCCGAATGGGAAGTGTGGGTTTCCGTGTCGTCGACTATCGCGCCGCCTTTAGCTCCGACATCAAGTTGGGAAGATTGGAGTTCTGCGTCGTCGACTGAAGCTCCATCGTCAACTTGGGAAGACTGGAGTTCTGCGATGCCGACTATCGCACCTACTGAAACCTCTACGTCAAGTTGGGAAGATTGGAGTTCCGCTTCGTCATCTACCACACCTACTGAGGCTCCAACATCAACGTGGGAAGAATGGACGAGTATGCCCACAATTGCCCCGATCACAACGAGCTCCACAACTTCGGCCTCAAGCCACAGCACGCCCACCAAGACATGGACATTTGGAGGGAGCTCGTCTACTTCAGCGAGCACTTCGAAAACCATGCAAGCGTCACCTATCGCGTCTACTTTTGTGGGCGCTGGCAACCAAGTGGGATCGTCCGTTGGTCTTCTTGTTGCAGTCGCGGTTGCTGCTGCTCTGCCTATGATCTAAGGCCACAGCAAAATCAGCGGCAACAAGGTGTCAAGTGCAGGGCACTCGGCTCTAACGTCAATGGGGGGCGGCGGGTGTGAGGCCCGGGGGAAGGAAGGGCGAAGATTGATTCATCGGCACTTCATTTACACTTTGGATTTCGGCAGTTCCTCCCACCACGAAATTTGGTTTACGACTTATGAATTGGTAATATTCGATTGAAATGCTTTGATTGTGTTTGGATATGCATATAATACCCCCCCCCCCCCCCCCAAGAGGTTGGGCTGTATGGGACAAGGATGAGAAAACGGCAGGAGAACGGGACTGAAAATGAAGACATTTTGGGACATGGCATGAAGTTGTACAATGTGAGGGACTGACGGAACAAATATATTGCACATACATACCTCGTACATATCATACGTTGTACTCGGATTAGCTGTACATAGAAAGATTGATGGACATCTATGTCCTCGGCTATATGCAAAGCACTTTTATCAGCAAGGTTCGTTCACCACTCACACGTTTGCTTCCATATCTACTCGGCACATTTCAATCTCTCCCCTTCACAAGCCAGAAATCCATTTATGTTGTAGTAGCTAGAGCATTACCCGAGTCTACGTACCGAACACTGTGCATCTGATAGAGAAGGCCCTCCCATTCATTCATTCCCCAACCAATCAATCAATCAACCAACCGTGTATGGCATGATATGACATGATATGACATGAGATCCGTGAGAAACCCCATTTCGGGGAAAGGTCGGGGCTTCATAGCATTACCTGCTGCATCCATCGTTTGTGACTATTTCTCCAGAGCTGGTTGGATCGTTTCTTGTTTTGCTCCAAAGCACGCTCAGGCCCGAAGCCTCGTCAGCTTGATACTGCTTACAGTCTAGTGGGCTGCTCCCGTATCTCCTCAGCTGTTGAGATGCAACAACCCTTCTTTCTGTTCTTCGAAAATAAATGTCAGAGTTGAAGGGACGCAGGAGGGTGAGGAGGACATTTGTCGCCCAATTGCAGCCCGTAAAAGTCTTTCCCCTTTGGAGATTCTGGATTTTTCTCCGGGGCCAAGAGAGGGCATGGAGAAACCAAAGAGTTTGGAGGATTCGTCGGACGATCTTCGAAATCGACTTTTCTTTTCCCTTCTTCTCCAAATAATTTAAACGCTTTAGCTCTGTGCCTGGTCTGGTCTCTTTTTCTTGGTCGCTTCTTATGTAATACCTAGGTGCATAGTCCTTCGGTAAAATGGCTACATACAAAGAAGGAAGCTGACAAGAACCCGCCGAAACCGGACAAATGCCGGGGTAGAAACCTGGAAATTGTGGTCCTCGATATCAAACGATACCCACCCCCTCACTCACTCACTCACTCAATCACTCAATGAACTATGTAGGTACTCGTACCTAGGGTGGCCAGATACCGTCAGACTCGGATCGGTTTCGCCTCCCCCCGGGGGGAGGGGGAGAGGGGTCACCAGGGGTTTTGTCCCACAGTGACATAAACATGTCCTCCTCCATTGGCAATAATGGGTTTAATTTTCAATCCAGAGGGTTTAAGAGATTTGCGGGACGGCACCGACAGAGCGGAACCGCAAGTAGTAGAGAAAATGAGGGGAGATGGAGAGAAAAAAGATGGAGAAACTCAAGTAGAGGGCCCGCGGAAGGATGGTGACGGGGGGCGGCGGGCGAGTATAAAGACGATTCGTTTTGGATGTTGCTTGGCCTCCAACAAAGTTGAGGTCAGAAAAGGTGCGCAGCCAGCAGCAGATAACTTGACGTGTGTGTCTCTCTCTCCAGAAAAGCCTACGATAGAGAGTGTTGTCTCTGTCTGCCATTATACTACAGACCTGACTTGACTTGACCTGATCGGATCGAATCCGCAACGAGCCTCAATCCCTACCCAGGAAACCAACCAAGATGCCCAACACCAAGACGGTCCACGTCCCTCACCTGGGCGGCATCGACGCCGCGTACCAGATGCCCTACCCCTACGACGCGTCTAAGCCGACGTTGATCCTCGTCAACAGCTTCACCACCTCGTCCGAGCTGTACCAGAAGCAGTACGCCAACAAAGAACTCACGGACAAGATGAACCTCTTGGCCATCGAGCTGCTCGGCCACGGGCAGACGCGGACCAAGTCGGAGAATTTCACATACTGGGACACGGCCATCATGAACATCCAGGTCATGGACGCGCTGGGCATCAAGAAGGCCTTTGTCCTGGGCACGAGCCAGGGTGGATGGATCACGGTGCGGATGGCGCTGTTGGCTCCTGAAAAGGTAATGTCACCACACCAATGGCCCTGTCTCTCCCTCTGTGGGATGTGGAAGGATATAACTGACACACATTTCTACCTCGCAGATCCAAGGTATCATCCCCCTCGGCACCTCGCTGGACTACGAGTCCGAACGCACCCGCAAACTCGGCTGCTGGGACGGCGTGGCCGCTTGCACGGGCCCCATCGACAAATGGACGAGCAAGACCCCGACGCCCGACTTCAAACCCGACCTCGAATACTGCGATTTCCTGATCGACATCGGCTTCGGCAAGGGCTGCACCCAGGAGATGCGCGAGTTCTGGCGCAAGACCATCCAGGCCAACTACCAGGGCGACGACGGCCGACGACGGGCGAGGATGGCGGCTATCAATCTGCGCGAGCGCGACGGCCTGCACGGTCGACTGTTTGACGTCAAGTGTCCGGTTATGTGGTTACATGTACGGCCCTTCCCCCATCCCTCTCCCAGTTTCTCCTTCATGTGTATTTGTAAGAGGCGTATTGTTCAACGCTAACACGTGGGGGTTCTGTCTCGTACAGGGCTCAGACGACCTCGTCTACAGCGTCGCCAACGCGAAGGAGGAAATCAAGCTCCTCACCAACTCGCCGTCGGCCGAGCTGATCGTGGTTCCCGGCGGGGCGCACTTCTTGTCAGCATCGCACCCGAAGGAGGTGGATAGTGCCCTCATCGCCTTTGTGGGCAAGTATGCTTGAACTCATGGCCATAAAATATCCCGCGAAGGTCGGCATGCTTTGTGAAAAAGACATCCTGTCATGTTTGATGCCTCGAGGGCTTTGGTGGCGTGGGCCTCTAACCCCATCCCCTGTTTGTAGCTTCCTTGTGTCTTCTGACTGCAGGGTCCTTGTCATCGAGGTACACATGTCATCAATGTATGTAGGTGTGTAGGTATGATGTATGGATATACGCACTTACTCCTAGACCCGTTAAACCCAGTTCGAAAATCGAAGCCCGAGTCCCTATAAGACTTGCACCAGTAGATGTGAATGATCATGGTGATGTTTTGCGCATCTGGAAAGAAACTCATAGCATGTAACTGACCCATGTAGATTTTCCTGCTGTTGTCGTTGCGCTTGTTCACCTGTGGGTGGATGGTGGTTTATTCTCGGAGGGACGTTTGTCCGGCCGGCCACCTGGTTATCCACCCACCCCCTTTGCTGTGCCAGCCTCGTGGATGCTGGATCAACGCCACACATAGTCTTTGCACCACGCCCACGGACAAGACACGGGAAGGAAGGTGTATGCAAGCCTGCCATTTTCAACAGTTTGACGCCCGTGGTGTTTCATCTGTGGTTGTCTGTCTCCAAATTGGTCAGCTGGTGTTGCGGTTTCAGGTGGGCGCGGTTGACGATGCATGGACTTGTTTGATTGCTGAAATGCAAAGGGTTTGTGTGCCAGTGGGTCGTTTTGCTTTGTGCCACCATCATCTTCCTTTGTCACATCTGGTACACCATATCCTTGGAGTTGTGCGGTTTGTGTTGCGTCGGGGTATCTAGATGTTGTTGGACAGAACTGCGTTGTGCTGGAGGGAGTAGATGATCTCCTTGTTTGCAGGCATTGTTTGTTTTATGGACTGTTTGCCTTTGGGATGTACTATTTCAGTGTTGTTGGATCTGTGAAAGGTCGAGATGTGGTGGACAGCGAGGACAGAAAGGAGCCAGATGCTGGAGTAGTCAGACAAGCAATCGTGTCGACGTGTCTGAAGCATGATATATGCCATACCAAGCATAGAGAGAACCGTGTTAATGGCGTAGATTGAGTACAGATGATGCAGAAGGTCAATTATTTGCTCTCATCCGTCGCAGCGCAACAGTCATGCACGCCGCTGCTCCAGCGGCAGCAGTCAAGACTCATGTCATCGGCGCGGCTGGTGCTAATGCGGCCAGTGACCACGATATGCTCCGCTTTTAATCAATGTTTTCCTTCTTCTGAATCACTTCTGCCCGTCTCTGTTCATTCAGAACTGTTTTCGCTCTTTGAATCTCCCTCGACAAGATTTGGACCTTCTTTGTTCTCAAACTGACCATGCACTTCATCAACCACACGATGTCTCCTAGAAAGAGACTCGAGTATGATGCCCTCCAACAGTAGTATGAGGTGATCCATCTCAAGAAAAAGATGACAGTTCTGTCCCTGATGTGGGTGAGATTGGCGGCACAAGGCCACGACTGACTCTTTGAAGCAGAGCCTTGAAGGCCCCTGCTTGACGACAAATTGCCAGCATCGACGATGACGAGGTCATCTCAGCTCAGTCCACTTGTTGCCGTCGAACACATCTATCAACTTGCCTGACCTTGGCCTTGTTGAGAATGCCCAGGAGGCAGACAGCAACCGTCCCATTCTCCAGTAATAAACACGTCTGTGAAACAACATGGAACAAGATCAAGTCCTGAGGCGCAAGAACAATACGTCTGCCCTCTAAGCTCACCGTCAAGACTTCCACAGCAAGAGCCCTCAAGAGTTGGGCTGGAAAACAGGGACACCTCCATAGTAAGTCTCCGACTCCAGTCCCCAAAACCAACCATGATGAACAAATTGCCCTCTGTCAATATGCACGACGCCTCGAGGTATCGGCATAGATGCGAAGAAAAGCTTATACTTATCTGAACGGACTCTCTCAATCCTTTCCTGCATCCCTCTACCTTTGTCTGGACGTATGCTGACCCGAGGCCTTGACAAGTGCTCCAAGCTCGTGTCAATCATCGGGGACACAAGGACAGCCCTGCAATCTCGTCAACCATTCGCCGCTGTATCGTGCTTCAGACGTCACTCGATGGTAAGTAAAGTTTCCTGTCTCCTGATGCATGCCCAGTACTTTTCCTGTGATGAATTTTATCCCATACAATGAATGGAGTTCTTTTGGAACGATGGCATACAACGCTCGATTTGCCCTGAAAAGGAGAATCGCGACCACGGTTACCCATCCCCCAAGTTCAAGGGAGGCTGGACCGCTGATTCGACTTTTGTGACCAGAATTGTTGACTCACAATTGTCACGAACCGGTCGAGACTCTGGCAATTACAACCAACCTCAGGAGACAAAACCTACCAGAGAAGTCGATAGATGACGGTCAGAGGCGAAGGAGGGCCATGTCTTCATAAGAGGAGGTGTACATTTCGTGGGAGACATTGTGTTCAGAGAAGAATTAAAGTAGAGGCACAGAGCCAGCACATGTGGCGTCACTGCGTCATTGCGTCACACATAGAAATATCACCATGTGGATGAACCATCGTGCCATGCCATCAACTCGACCATATTACTCACTCTTCACAAAGGCCTCTGAAGATTCTTTTATCCGAGATGTTACTGTCACCTCTGTTCGCAATGACACGTCACCCAGCCTCGCCGTCCCCGCTTGTTCCTGCATAGCCGAGCCCATGCATGCTGCACGCATAGAGCCGGAGATAGGCTTGCTTCAGCGACCGTCCACCCGCAGGTCGCGTCCAAAGGATGACACGAAAACCTTTCGACGTATCTCATTGGACAGCCCTCGACCATCAACCATGTTGGAAATTAGTCGATGCATCGATGCAGGACATGTCGCATGCTGACAGATGGCGTTGCGGTTTTAAAGAGGCTGTGGCGTTGTGCATACAGGGACCATCTCCAGAGGTTACATGAGTCAGCATCAAGCTGTTCGTGGTATCTTGTGTACAACCGTGGCGGGATATAAAGGAGATGCAGTCTTCTGCGACCTTAGACCCTTGAGAGTAGCATTTTCATCACCAGTGACCAACTACCAACGCTATCCCACGAACGTCACATTCTTAAACATCTGCAGAGCATTCTCGCGGCGAAAGCGCAATGTCATTCGGGTTCGAGACAACGGGCGATGAAATAGTGGACCATTTCGAAGACCAAGTCAAGGGCAAGACCTGTAAGACCCAGAGTTTTCCGGGATTGTGTGAAGATAGCCAGCTCATGGATATCCAGTCCTAATCACCGGTCCAACGCCAGGAGGAATCGGTGCCGAATCAGCACTCTGTCTCGCAAGAGCAAACCCCAGACATCTGGTCCTTGCCGGCCGCTCGCGACAGAAGATCCAACCTCTGATCGACCAACTCCAGGAGACCAACCCGAACGTGAAGACCAGCTTCGTCCCGCTCGACCTCGGGAGCCAAAAGTCTGTGCGGCAAGCCGTCGAGGATGTCAAGGCACTTCTCGAGGGGGACAAGATCGACTACGTGATCCTCAACGCCGCCATCATGGCGTGCCCGTACGGGGTGACGGAAGACGGCATCGAGACGCAGTTAGCCACGAACCACCTTGGCCACTTCCTCTTCACCAACCTCCTCCTGAAGAGCGGCCTGATCGGGTCGCGCGTCGTCATCGTCAGCAGCTCAGCGTCCGAACGTGCGGCGGAATACGCTTTCCAGCCTCTGGATGACATATCGTACAGCGACGGCGCCACTTACGACGCGATGCAAGCGTACACTTTCTCCAAGGCGTGCAGCGTCCTCTACGGAAAGCGACTCGCCAGACTCCTCCACCACAAACACCCGGACGTGGCCGTCTTCAGCCTCAACCCGGGAAGCATCCGCACGAATCTGCAGGGCTACATGAACGCCGACGTGCGCAGCCGCGCCATCGACGTCGCCCGACGCTACAACCCTGCCTTCACGATACCCGAGCTCAAGACCCTGCAGCAAGGCTGCGCAACCCAGCTCCGTGCGGCGCTGGACCCGACTTTGGCAGTCGACTCGGGCGCCTACCTCGACGACTGCCAGGTGACGAGGGTGGCTGTCCACGAGGGCCACGCGCGGTACACCGACCAAGTTTGGGAGTTGAGCGAGCGGCTTGTGGGAGAGAAATTCGAGTTTTAGGCCAGGCCGCACCGGCAGGCCCGTCCTGGTATATATTATATCCCTTGTCCGGATCGGCTGAAATGGGATATCACGCGGTGTCGTCTGTCGGACTCATTGGTCCTTTACAAGAAAGCGCTTCTCTCACCTGGAGACTGAAACCAGCGGGGCGGCGACGCGTAATATTAATTGTTTGGTTGCATACCAAAGCGTGCAGGCATGTGTTGAGACAACCGATACCTACAAAGTGTTCGAGCCTTTGAAGCTTTCATCACAAAAGAGGCCTTCGTCACGGATCATTCTTGTTCTGTATCTCCATCGAATTTTTTTTCTTACTCATTCAAATTCATTCCGGGGTCATAGACTGTTTCTAACCACGCGAGTGGTCTCTGCACTAAAAACTAATACTCTTTGGACATTCTCATCGCTTAAAGAATACTTGTTGCCCCCTTTGATCACGGATCCTTCCGAAAATAGTCCCATTCCACCTCTGCTTTTTTCTACAACGTTGAGAAATGCAGAAAGGGGACCTCACGGACGAGTTCTGGTCGCAAAACGTGAACATGATAACTGCTTCCATCAACGCCACTGCTGGAATTCAACAAGAGATTTCGACAATATGCCGGACGATAGGGCGCCGATGGACAGAGTACGGGATTGACACCGGGCCGCCTCATTAATTCTGGGACTCGATGGGCTGCTGACATTCGCCCAAATTATTTCGAGGGGAGGTGTGGTGTGTAGTTGGTCTCCTCTCGTGGATGTATTCGATTCTGCTCATGATCAGATCCCCGTCGTCCGCATCAGACTCGTTTAGTACATCTTAAGAGGGTAGAGGTCAGGTTGCTGCGCTCACGGAGCATTCCTTCGCCCCAGCAGCGAGTATAACGCGGTGTCACCACATCAGTTGACCGACTGATACAGCAGCAGCGGTTCGCCGACATTTTCAATCTCCGGAATCGTGCATTTCAGATCGAATGCTTTGGAGAGGACAATCTTGAAGATCTTTTGGACATTGATGCTGTGGCTTGTGCTGCTGAAGATGAGACTCGCGCGCATGGCTTTTGCGAATCTTCGAGCCTGTGAAACACACGAGGTCAACATGGCTGTGCTAATCACATGGCCAAAAGTTGCTCCGACTCACCTGGTTGCTGATCTCCTCTTGATCCTCCCTTGGGAAATTAACAAAATGGTCGTACTTTGTACCGATCAAGAAAGGTATGGCAGTCTTGTTAAATCCTCTACCCTGTCTGTACCATTCTTTTATGCTATTGAGCGTTGATTTCCGTGTCAAGTCGAACATGAAAAGGATAGCGACGGCATCGTTGCAGACAAGGGGAAGCATGTTGACAAACTCTCGTTGGCCACCGAGATCCCAGATCGAGAAGGTGATTTCTGTATTGCGTATCGAGATGGTCTTCTCCATGAAGTTGACGCCTAAGGAAGCGTTAGCTGCTGGCGGCTAAATCATCAGAGGGAAGGGAAGCGCACCCAAGGTCTGTATGTAGTCTTCATCCCAGCTACCCTCGACGTATTTGACCATTAGACTCGTCTTGCCGATCTGAGCATCTCCAACCATCCCGACTTTGATGACGACACTGGATTTGCTGGACGGTTGTGACTGTCTGTTCTCTTGATATTGTGTTTGTTGATGTCCGCCCATTCCAGAACCAGGTCTTGAGGTCGGTTGCTGGTAGAGGCTTGGAGAGTTATATCTCTGATTGGAGTCGCTGTCCATTGGCGGAGTTGCGGTAGCATTGGAAGTGTGAGATTGATGGCCGTTCTGGATCGCGGTAGTGTCCTCTTGTGGCTGATCCTGGTCATTGACGATGTGAGGACTGTATGCCGAATCGGCGGGGTATTCAGCGGGAGCGGTGGGATCCATGGCTGGAACGACAACGAGCGAAGGACGGACGAGACGGAAAGATGAAAATTAGCTTTGAAAGCCTGCGGATGAAGCCTTGGGTCGGCTCATGCAGCGAAGATGAGCGTCGGTCTGAGGCTGCGGATGCGGTCGAAAGATGAAGTTTTGGTGTGTAGGTAAAGTAGGGTCGACAGGGAGCCCTTACATGGCGAATCAACACTCGAGGCACGCTCAACCACCGCAGACGCGTCTACGAACTCCAATCAGCGCCGAGAAAGTTAACTCTCAACCTCCGCAGCTGAGTGTGAGCGCGTTACAGTTTTGAGAGCATCCAGTCCTTCTCAATCGTATGACTATCCGTCATCATCATGAATCAAGTACGATATATTACACTCGCGGCAGCGGCAGCCTGCCGTTGTCTCGATGCCTGCACTTCGGCCCCCAAGAATAACGCACAAGCTGCAATAATCGCCGTCGAGACTACCCCAAAGATGATCTGCGTTTTCATCCCCGTCTGGACCAATGCCCGTCGTCTCGCATACTTTGTGACTGTCCGCATGTAGATGCCCAATCCGCTCACCAGACACGCCAGGGAAAGGACCCAGAAGATGATCCCTAGTGGATGAGATAACCGCCTTTCCAGGGAAGTAGGCTGGCTCTTTAGATGGAAGTTGACGAATATGGCGACGGCCACAACGGCCATATAGATGGATAGCCGGAGCCAGGATAAAAACGTTCTTTCGTTGGCACAATGGTCGCGGGCATCAGATGAAACATTAGAGAACAGAAGGGGTGCATAGAGAGGTCGCAGAAGAAACATCTGGATGGGATTCTCTGGATGGGTGCTGTATGACACGCTGATTAGGCATCTGGCTGTCCCCAGCAACCCCGTGAAGAGACTTACTCGTCAACGTTGATGGTAGCACCGAAGGGATTGTAGAGGAGATGCCAGGCATCCTCTGTTGCCGGCGGAGGACTGATGTCTGGGTCCGCGGGAGGAGCCATATCTATTGTCGTTGGACGGGCAAGCACAAATGTTCTGAGTCAGTAACACACATTTAGGAATGGATATGGCTGATGCTGCATAAATACAGGAATACTTGTAAAAATCGATGGAGCTCGCTCTGGATGGTTCGCAGGGCTCTAAAATGACGCAACCGATCGATGCGCGATAGCCACCTGCACACCAAGCAGAGATGACCCAGTGGCCCAGTAGCCCAGTGGCCCAGTAGCCCAGTGGCCCAGTAGCCCAGTGGCCCTAGACCCCGATGCCTCGGCAGCCCCAAAACCACTTCTAGGCGTTGCCGGGCATGCCTTGAGCGAATAATACGAGGTTCTCCATGCTTCACTTCTTCCAAGCACACGACGGGGTATTGAGCTTGTGAGTGAGCTTGTTAGTTTATCACAGGTCAAAACCGACCTGGATACTAGGTATTTGCTATCTGAGAGAACAAGTTGATCCCTCACGTTATCCATCTATGCCTTGCCAGAAGCACTCGTTCTCAACCTGGTAGCCAGAGCCGGGCGAAGATAATGTCCTTCCCAGCACCTATGCCCTTGCCTCCTCCCAGCGGTAGGCACCGAGAGGCACCAATAACACCTGAGAAAACAGTCAGAGCCGCCTCCAAGCCCCCAGAAGCAGTTAAGCGCGGGCAAGAACTGGTGCCGGATTTGGTCAGCGTAGCCGATAAACAATTACCATTTGGAGGCCCGCCTTGCTTGCTTGCGCACATCTGCGGAGTAACTAGTTGGCTCACCGAGCTTTATCAGTTGAGCAACCAACGTCGTAGTAATTTCAACCATATCTTCTCAACCTTGATCCAAGGCGGAAACGGTCATGATTTGCGGTGCCATCCTCCTGCCGCAACTTGTTTCTCACTATATAGCTATTCAAAGGCCCTCTGCCACCTGAGCATGCCACTCCGTCTCATGAGCTAGTCTGTCCCAGTCACCGCCAGAAAGTATTTCTATCTAGTCAACAGGCCTGCCCAACATGGCGACGCCTCCCAAATACATCAGTCCTCTCGAGCGTGTCACCAGTGTCACGAACCGAGTCTTCTCCAACTCCCTCCCAGATCCTTCGCCCATCGCCCAGGCCTCACTTGCCCGGGATATCGAGGAAGACACAGACGAGGAAGCCACGGAGACAGAGTCCGAATCAGAAAGTTCTACACTGCGGCCTTCCACATCTGCTCCAGGAACAGGAGGATATTCATTTGTGGGATCATACCGCAGACCGAGCTTTGCTGGAGCGGGAAACAGAGCTACTCTCCTACCCCGCCTTGCACCAGAACATGAGCGACTCTCGAAGGAAGAGAGACAACGGGCAATGGAGGAGGAACGGTCTCTACTGAGAGACAACAATCTAATACCACCCAAACATCCTCAGACCGCGGGCGACCAAGGCAGTCGCAGGAGAAGCATTTTCCATATACCTGGCGGTGACCGCAAAATCCCTCGAGATGAAGAGGCAGTCCCAGCGGTGGAGGTTAACGCCGGCCTTGTGACTGAGGTCTCGCCGTTGTTAGGTGACCCAGGTCTCCCTTATGGCGGACAAGATGACGCCCAGACCATCAATCAGAAGTGGGAGGAAGCTGTCGCAGCAGGCATGATTCACACAACCTGGCAGCGCGAGGCCAAAGTAATTGCTCGGTACTCTGCGCCGTTGATGGTAACCTTTATGCTCCAGTATTCGCTCACCGTCGCGAGCATTTTCACGGTTGGACATATCGGTACAGTGGAGCTAGGGGCAGTGAGCCTGGCATCTATGTCTGCCAACATCACCGGGTATGCCATTTACCAAGGTCTAGCCACGTCTCTTGACACCCTCTGCGCGCAAGCCTACGGATCCGGCCGCAAGAAACTGGTCGGCCTGCAAATGCAGCGCATGATCTACTTTCTATGGACCATCACCATACCCATTGCCATCATCTGGCTCTTTGCGGACAAAATTCTCCTTGCCCTGGTCCCCGAACCAGAGGTCGCTAAGCTTGCAGGCCTGTATCTGAAGGTCGTCCTTTTTGGTGCACCTGGCTATGCAGCCTTTGAATCCGGGAAACGCTTTGTCCAGGCTCAGGGGCTCTTCTCAGCCTCTCTCTATGTTCTCCTTTTCTGTGCCCCGTTTAATGCTTTCATGAACTGGCTGTTCGTCTGGAAGCTGGAAATGGGGTTTGTGGGAGCCCCTATCGCTGTTGCCGTCACAGATAATCTGCTCCCGCTAGGTCTCTTCATCTACGTCCGTTTCTTCTCCAAGACCGGTATGTCGTGCTGGAACGGATTCACAAAAAAGGCCTTGCAGAACTGGGGACCCATGGTCAAACTAGCCTTGCCAGGGGTGGTGATGATTGAAGCCGAAGTTCTCGCATTCGAAATTTTGACCTTTGCTGCCTCGTATTTCGGCACGACAGTCCTCGCCGCACAGTCTGTTCTCGCCACACTCACCTCGATCACTTTCCAGATCCCCTTCCCTCTCTCTATTGCTGGCTCCACGCGGGTCGCAAACCTCATCGGCGCCACATTGGCGGATGCCGCGAAAGTGTCCACACGTGTGACCTTCTCCGCTGCCATTGTCGTTGGTATCCTCAACGTGACCCTCCTCTCGGCCCTGAAAGATTACATCCCGCACCTCTTCACTTCAGACCCTGAGGTGGTCCGCATCGTTAGCGAAATTCTCCCTCTGTGCGCAGCGTTCCAACTATTCGATGCTCTTGCCGCCAACTGCAACGGCGTCCTCCGCGGCCTAGGTCGACAAGAATTCGGTGGTTACGTACAGCTGTTCTGCTACTATGCCTTTGCGATGCCGATCAGTTTCGGCACGGCGTTCGGTGCCGGCTGGGGGCTTTGGGGACTTTGGACCGGCGTGGCCCTCGCGCTGGGGCTGGTGGCTGTGATTGAATTCGTGTACCTCGCACGGACCGACTGGCAGAGGAGCGTCGAGGAAGCGAGGGCCAGGAATCTAGAAAGTGGCCAGTGATTGATGGTTTACGGAACTATAAAAGTCATATTCTCTAAATACACACACACACACACACACTCAGAAGTGCTGCAGGTATACTACGAGTACATGGACCTCGTCCCAGCAGATGATTACGATCTCGCTGCACAGGTATCTAGGGTGCTAGGGTAGGTAGATCTATGCTAATGAATGACCTCTAATGAATTCGACGAGATAAATCTACTGTAAACCTACCATATTGTGCCGTGTATATAAAGCGGCTGCTCTGGTCTAGTATGATCTGATCTGATCTGCTCTGCTCTGCTCTGATCTGATCTGGTATGTATGTATGTATATGTCTACTCGGTCTAGAATTCTCGCCACAGCCTTACCATATCACAGCCAGACCATGAAGTTACATACAAGTATACTCAGTATATCTATCATACATGACACAATCGAGTTTGGCGTCGCGTGTAGACGACAACTGCGCGGTACAGGCTACTGTGGGTATTGAGAGACACCTACTCGCCTGTGATATAGACGGTGTCTCCTAACGAATCAGGATAGACAGACAGAAGAGAAAGGGAAAGACACAGAAAGGGGGGGATTAATAATTCCTTGATGCTGGAGCTAGGCAGGTCTCTTTCTCCCAGACTCCCAGGCACCTAGGGTATGCATCTCGATTTGTCTGCAATCAATTACCAGGACTGACTATAACTATCCGTTTCATCGTGAGCCCAGGCCCAGTTTTCCCCTTTCCACGCCTGGAACGCCTGATAGTGAGAGAAAATGATGCTGGCTTCTACCAAATAATGCTCTTCATCCCAAGTTGTATCGCGTTGTGACCCATTCACAAGGGGCTGAGTCCTTGAGTGGACACAATCTGAGGCGATTGCCATGTGGGAGACGTTCAAAGTAGCTTGGGTTGTTTACATCCTCCGAATGTGTGTCTCGTTGGCCACTTCGCCCAACTTTCCCTGCACAAGCTGTTCCCACCAGTGGAACAGCATTCCCTCGCAAATCAGCCGGAACCAAGGCGTATACTTCAGAGCCTTGTCCTTGCCGCTCTGAGTCTCCACATCCT